ACTTCTCAAATAAGTAAACCTGTTTATACTACTCCCACACATTTACCAGAAGAAGATATTGCTTCTAATAATTCTCCAACTCAAACTGATTTCGAAGAATTCACACCACCTGTCAATCCCCAACTAATGACAATTAAAAAAGATTTTACTCCCGATTTAGATAAATTACTTATTGACTTTAGATCTAAAGAAAATAGGACTAAAAGACATGCTTATCGTGCCAAATATGATTCTACTCAACAATCTCGAATAACTCGAAAATGGTATGATTTTATGGTTCAATATGGTTTTGAATTATCTTTCTTTGATTATATGGATCAATATTACAAAAAGGAGAATTATTAGAAGCAATATCTTCTTCTGGTAAATGTGTGGGAGTAGTATAAACAGGTTTACTTATTTGAGAAGTTGTAGAATTATCAATTCCTTTTAATTTATTTTGGGGAGTTTGGTTGATTGGACCAAGATGGATTTGACTATTTTTCCTAAATAAAGGAGTATTAAATATTTCATCTTCAATTGCTATTTCAGAAGGGACACTAGATGTACTATGTCGAGAGGATTGACTTCGATTAAATTTTATACTAACTGAGCCATCATTATATTGTTGGATATTTTGAATATCTTGGATTGAAGATTGCTGTTGATTATGTTTGTAATTTTCATTAACAGTAACCCATTGTTCAGGTAAATTAATATCTTTCCATTCAATCATGTGAGGAATATTAATATTTGATTCATTAGTACTACTGCTTTGAATTAATAAGGTTTTATCTTTAGGGCTTTTATGTAAAGCATGAACATTTAAATTAGTTTGCATACATTTATAATGAACACGGTATATTAAAGCAATATTATGTGAAGAATCTAACATTTCAGTGAATGTACCATGTAATTGAATGTTTAATGTTAATGCTTTGAGAATATGTGGATCTCGTAAACTTAATGTAAAATCAGGAAAACAATTAAAATGTACGGGACCTTTATTGAGACCAGTTTCCATCATTCCCATTAAACTAGCATTGTAATTAAGAAAACGAGCATCACGTAAACATAGTAAAACAGAAGTGTTTTGACCGACCATTGTTAATGGATTAACACCTATTTGAATTAAACCAATATGCATAAAATTGTAACCATGATCTAGATGTCGTTTGATTAATTTTTTATCAAATAATTGACAGGTTTCTCTAAGTTTTTCTAAAGCATATACTTGTTCAATAGTTTTAACATGGAGAGTAACTTTAAAAACAAGATTCACCCAATTAAAGACTGGGAAGAAGTGGGTGACTTAAACTAGGTGGATAGAACAGACTGATCTTGTGGGTGATTAAGATGAACTGAAAAGAGGATTAATTAAACAAACAACAAGGACGATTAATCAGAAGTAGCTAAACAGTTAGAAACAGGATACAACATCACTTGGCTCTGATACCATAAAGGCGGAAGCAACGCATACAGAATGAAGGAGATGGATTACGAAATCAAAATAACATTGGAATGCACTTAATTAAAACATTAATTTAAAAATAAACATTAATTTAAAAATAAACATTCAAAATAACTTACAATTAAAACATTAATACTATTAATAATTTTAGTATTAATTAATGTTAATTAAGCCATTAATTGACACTAATTAGTTTATAATGAAAAAATGAAAAAAAAAATTATACTAATTGATGCTATTAATAATTTTAGTATTAATTGATGTTAATTAAGCCATTAATTGACACTAATTAGTTTATAATAAAAAAATGAAAAAAAAAATTATACTAATTGATACTATTAATAATTTTAGTATTAATTGATGCTAATTAAGCCATTAATTGACACTAATTAATTTATAATCAAAAAATAAAAAAAAATTATACTAATTGATACTATTAATAATTTTAGTATTAATTGATGCTTATTAAGCCATTAATTACCGCTAATTAATTTATAATGAAATAATGAAATAATTTTATACTAATTGATACTATTAATGAAATGATAATTTTTGTAATATTAATTATGTTAACTTTTATTAATGAAATAATTTTTTTAAAATTAAAACTGAAAAAATGACAAAATAATCATTTTTAAATCATAAAAGGGCAAAAAAGACAATTACACAATAAAAAGTTATTTTACAGCTTATTAATCAAATACTATTCTACTGTTTAAATTTATAATTTCACAACTGCACCAAAGAGGTTAACAGCGTATGTTCACAGCTATAAGTCATAATCTGTTAAGTTATAATCTATAATGACTTTTTCATAGCTCTACCAAACGGGGCTATTGGGGTGTTCAGTATGAATTATTTTGGCTAATTTATAGATTTTAATTTTCGAAAATTTATTTTAAATTGTTTGGTTAAATTATTTTAAACAATTTCTGATTATAACAACTTATTTTAACTCAAAAAAGTTGATTATAAGAAGTTACCCACCTCCTGCTTCTGATTATCAGTTTCTGCCGTACATATATTAATTTAAGATTATACTCATAGTTTTTTTTGATAAATAAATATATATATACATATATATAGAAAAAGATCCAAATGGACTATAGATTATATTTATATATATATATGGAAAATGTGCACTACTAGTGAATAACAAAAAATAAAAATTAATCACTGTGTTTGATTGTGATTTTTTGAACACGTTTTGTTGAAAATTTTATACAGCCTATTTGGTTATTCTGAAAAATGTTTGGTTTGAGTTTTTTGAATTAAGTTTTTTGAAAACTCAATTTTTTTGTTTTTGTGTTTTTTTGTTTTTACTGAATATTTTTAAAATTTTAAACATTTTTTTTACTTTTTTAGATACACCTTACTTAGATGTATCTAAAAAGTAAAAAATTTGTGAAAAAAACTTTTTTAGATACACCTTACTTAGATGTATCTAAAAAGTAAAAAATTTGTGAAAAAATATTTTAAAAATTTAATAAATACATAAAAACACAAAAAAAAATGTACTAAATTCTCATATTTTTTTTGTATTTAGTGAATTTTTAAAAGGTTTTTTCACAATTTTTTTACTTTTTAGGTATATTTATATTAGGTATGTCTAAAAAGTAAACAAAATTGCTTAAAATATTAAAAAAATTTAGTAAAAAATAAAAAAATACGAAAAATAAGAAAGTAAAATTTTCTGAAAAGTGTTTTTGAAAAAACACAACCAAACAAGCTATCCATTTTCAAATTTTTTTTTCCAGATTTGATTCTAAGAGCCTAAGCATTAGTACACTGTACTTGTGTGCTCCTCACGTGATGTGAAGAGCCTTTGCTTGTTTCTTTTTTTTTCCTAATTTGTTTCTCTCCCTCTATCAGCCACGGGTTAACCATGGTACGTATAGGTACAAATTTTTTTTTTTATCAATTTGACTATTTATTTAAATTTGAACATAATTCAACGATTTTGAAAATAAATTTAAACATAAATATACAATTTTATAAATAAATTTGTAAACAAATTTATGATTTTCTAAATAAATTTAAACATTGATTCACATATTTTTTTTTAATGCCAATTTTAAACAATTGAGTGTTTTTATTCATTTACGGTTTTCTTAATTTTGTACATAAATTAACGTTTATTGGAAACTTGTATAAATTTACGTTTTCCGCAAATTGTATTTTAATTTTGGTTATTCCAAAAATGTGTACATAAATTTGTCAAAATTATGATTTTTTTAATGCAAATTTCCGAATTATTTTTGTGCATAACATTCATAAAAATTTGATTATACGACAGAAATTTATTAGTGCCAATTTAGCAAAAAAAAAAAGTACGTTTTCTGTGGGTGAAATGAGTGAAAATTTTATAATAAAGTTGCACAGTTAATGGTAAAATATGTACCCATAAATGGGTACATGCCACATTATGTTTTCATCAAACCAACCATGTACATATATATATATATATATATATATATATATATCTATATAATAAGGAAGCTCAGATTTTTACTTTGATGGGACTTTTGTCCCTTTGTCAATACGTAGACCGTTAGATTGAATTCAATCCAATGGTTCACAATGTCTAATCACCTTATAGTTTCTCTCTGTCTCTCTCACACACACTCCTCTCAAATTTTCAACGCTCTCTTTCAAATTTTGAACACAGACGTCTCCCTCTCTCTCTACATTACTCTCTTCATTTTCTCTATTTCTCTATTCCTCTGAACCGCCCCAAGCCCCAACAAACCTGAGAGGGTGATTTATGATCAGGAGTTGGGCCGAAGTAGCAGCCGAGCAGATTGAGAGCCCAACGGTGCATGGGGCCGAGATGATTGGCCATCCGCCAAGAAGTGGGCTGCCAGAACTTGAGCCGGGCAGAACTTGGGCCAAGTGTGAGCCACCCCGGCCCAAGATGGAGCTCGGCTAGATAGCGCCTGGTTGGACCGAGCTGCCTGATCAGGGGATGGCTGAAGCCAGACAAGCTGAGTGACCGGCGCCCGGAAAGGCGTGGTCAACCGAGGAGACTGTTTGACCGGCAGAAAGGCCGACCAAAGGAGGTACCCGGGCTAGGCACTGCCGGGATGCCGTCTAGCCCGGTCCTCCATGTGTTTATCCGGTTAGGCGCTTGGGTACGAAGCATGGCATGGCCGTGGTAGAGCAGCTCGGCTGCCGAGCTCCAGCTGTGAAGTCAGGCAGTTGAGATTAGGTGATGATCGGCAAGGTTTACGCTGACAGATGGGATAGCAGAGCCACGTGTCAAGAGATGACTGGGAGTGGATATGGGGCTCAGAAGGTATATAAGCATTTTTGCGCCCCCCATACGGGACACACGAACATCTCTGTAAGGAATTCTTGCACTCAAACACTCTCTCCCTTCTCTCTATCCATCCTAAGGTGTGTGCTAACTTGATCGTCGGAGGGTTTTTCCGGCCACACACCGCCGGGTAGCTCACCGTTACTTGCTCGCAGGTGATCGGACATCGACGGAGCTCGGAAGAAAGGAGTACGGGCTTGCCGGAATATTTGCTCCCCGTACAAAACCCATCTCAATCCCTCTCTCTACATTACTCTCTTCATCTTCTCTCTTCATCCATTCCTTTGAACCACCCCCAACAAACCCATCTCAATCCCTCTGAACCGCCCTAAAATTCTTTAACTTCGCTGCTGGCCGAATCCGAGCTCTACAACTGGCGTGACTCCAATGCAGAGGTAAAGAATTTCTCTCCATCATCCGAAGACCAGAGTCAGATGTGCGAACCCTCCTCCAAATCCACAGAGGTAAAGAATTTTTCTTTGTTGTTTAATCATATATAAATTATTGATTTTCTTTGTTGTTTTCTCTCATATTAATCAACAAATTAGACATTTTTGGAGATTAATCTAGATAGCTTTTTGGGGATTAATCTAGACAGTTTTTTGTATCAAAATGGGACAATTTTTTGGGGATTGATCTAGAAATTTTTTTGTTTTGGTTGGGAAGGTTTGTTTTGGTTGCCTATTTTGCCATTTTTTTTTTGGGTCTGTTTTACCATATTAATCTAGACAACTCTGTTTTTTTATTTCTGTTTTGGGTCAGACAATTTTTAAACCCTTAGTGTGTTGTCATATTTTTTTTTCATCTTATTTTTTGTTCATCTTTTTCATCTTATAAAATGACCCAATAAGTTTTCTTTATTTTGATTTTGGGAAATATATATAGGCACACAACTAGAACCCATTTCTTGAACAACCAATCATGTTTTTTTGTTTTGTTTTTTTATTTTTTGGTGTGAGTTTACAAGACTCAAATCAATTACGATCATTACACATGTGTTTGATAGAATGACCCAATAAGTCATGTATTGCAAGTCTTTGATAGAAAGACCCAGTAAGTCATATTAAATTTATATATACCCCAAAAACTTTTTAACCATATGCATCCAAAGTTATAATCACAGTAGTTCATAATCTTAAAAAAATATCATAAATCCTCATAACTAAGGCCACTTAAATTTATAATTACACATCACAAAATTTTATAACCAAAACCACCATGGGTTATAACCATAAACACTACAAAGTTCATCATAAATTTGAACATCACAAAATCTTATAACTAAGTTCCACAAATCATTAGAATTCTGGTGCATGTTACACATTTTTTCAATGTTTATTTTATAACCAAAACCACCATGTGTACCAAAGAATTTTTCAATGTTCGATAACCATTCTACTAAAATGTTCGATAACCAAACTTTATTAATAAAATGTTCTGATTATTGATTTGATCAAACATTTTATGAAACTTTTTATCAAACATTTTATCAAACTTTTTCACTGTGAGTATTGTTTTTCTTTAATTTTCTAGGTGCATATAGGATTTTGGGTATACTTTTATGGGTTTTGTTGATTTTTCTTATTCATACATATTATCTATTTATATATACACATATATATGAAGAGTTGGTTGGGTTCTACGAAACCCATTTACTTTGATTTAGTAGGAATTTGTAGGACTATTGTATTGAGTTACTCTATTGAATGGTTGTTGTGTCATTACTATTGTTTGGTTGTTACAAAAATATTTGATAACCATTCTATCTTTCCTGCTTATTAAGTGTTTGATAAAATGTTTCGATGGAATTTACACATACACACAAATTGACTTTAACACACACAACACACATTGGTAATTTTCATCATAAAAATTCGTGACTATCTTATGATGTGCATCCTTTTTTTTTTTGACAAATAAACGAACTTTATTAATATGATGTGCATCCTTTTAAGAGTGGAGATTATTAATTTTCGCCAATATATGAGAAATCAATATTTAGCCAAGAGAATGCATTAAAAAATATATATATATTTAAAGAACAAGATTGAAACCTTAAACAAATAAATTATGGGTTTGTTGGGTTGTTGGATGCTCTGTTCTGCAAAGTAAAGGTAATACTCTCATCTATTTCTTAATGGATTATTGTGTGTATATATATTGATTACAAATTATTTTTATTTTTTTTCTTTGAAGCCATAGAGACCATCAATTGATCATTAGTGGAATAGAGAAAGAACGATTCCCAAAATCAAACTGTGAGTATTGTTTTTCTTTAATTTTCTAGATGCATGTAGGATTTTGGGTATACTTTTATAGGTTTTGTTGATTTTTCCTATTCATATATTTATCTATGTATATATACACACAAATATATGAAGAGTTGGATGGGTTCCATGAAACCTATTTACTTTGATTTAGTAGGAATTTGTGGGACTATTATATTGAATTGCTCTATTGAATGGTTGTTGTGCCATTACTAACGTTTGGTTGTTACTAAAATGTTCGATAAAGTGTTTGATAAAATGTTTCAATGGAATTTACACACACACACAAATTAACTTTAATACACACCACAAACATTGGTAATTTTCATCCTAAAAATTCATAACTATTTTATGATGTGCATCATTTTTTTTTTTTTTTGACAAATAAACCAACTTTATTAATATGATGTGCATCCTTTTAAGAGTGGACATTATTAATTTCCCCTAATATATGAGAAATCAATATTTAGCTAAGAGAATGCATTAAAAAAAAAATTCAAAGAACAAGATTGAAACCTTAAACAAATAAATTATGGGTTTGTTGGGTATAGGACCTGTGGCAAAATGCCTTAATTAGCTTGTCTTAAACTTAATCGAAAAAGGGGAGTTACGGGGGTAAAAATGCAAAACAGCCCCGGAACCACCGTATGGATGTCGCGACTAGCTTCCCTGTGACATATAGGACTTGTGACAACAGATGGAATGTCATTACCACACGTAGTTCAGGTGTTAGAGCAAAAAACGACTTAAACTTATCCGAAAAAGGGTGTTAAGGGGACAAAAAAGTGAATCAACTCCCGAACCACTATACGAATGTCAAGGCCACCTTCCTTGTGACATATAGGTCCGGTGACAACATTCGGAATGTCATTAGCACGTATAGGTTGGGAGTTAGAGCCAAAAAAGCATTAAACTTAACTAAAAAATGGCGTTAACGGGGTGAAAATGAAAACAGCCCCCGAACCACCATACGAATGTCGCGGCCACCTTTCCCGTGACAAATAGCACTTGTGACAATAGAAGGAATGCAATTAGCATATGTAGGTTGGGAGTTAGAGTAAAAAAAGCCTTAAACTTAACTGAAAAAGGGCGTTAATGGAGTGAAAAAATGAACCAGCCCTGGAACCACATTATGGATATCACGGCCAACTTTCCTGTAACATATAGGACTTGGGAGAATAGACAGAACGTCATTAGCACACGTATTTTGGGAGTAAGAGCCGAAACGCCATAAACTTAATAGACAAAAGGGTGTTAAGGGGGCAAAAATGCGAATCAGCCCCCGAACCACCGTACGGATGTCACAGCCACCTTCCCTGTAAGAAATAAGACTTCTGACAACAGAAAAAATGTAATCATCATGTGTAGGTTGGGAATTAGAGTCGAAAACGCATTAACCTTAACCGAAAAAGGGCATCAAGGGGGCGAAAATGCGAAACAGCCCCCAAACCACTGTACGGATGTGACGGCCACATTCTCCGTGACAAATAAGACCTATGACAATAGACAGAATGTAATTAGCACGTGTAGGTTGTGAGACTCCTAACTTTTCTAAACCCTATTAGGTCCCTAAATTTTGAGTTATTATAATAAAGCCCTTAGTTCATCGATTATTCACAAATTAAACCCCAGAACCAAAAACGCTTCACAAACGAACCCATATAAACCCTAATCAATCCTAGAAGCTTAGAAATCATTTCTAACACTCTAATATTCATTATTTAACTCTCAAATTTTAGATTAATCTCTCTAAACCTTAACTTCCGATTTTCATAGTTTTCGTTTGGTTATTCACCTTTAAATTCAAAGCAAGATAATACAAACTGAATTGTTTTTTCTAACACTAATTTATTAACTCTAAACTTGAAATAGATATTTTAATTGAGCCCAAGCCCTCACATTTTTATTGAATCACATTTTGACCCCAAACTAATACCATTACACACATATATATACACTTGTACCTTTCTTAAATAAATAATTTTGTACACAAAATATCTTCATATATATATAATCAACAAAAATCACCACAAATCTAGGACATGGCCAGCCATCACCCTCTCTAGGCTACAATCATAGGTACTTTAGAGACAAAATGCTTAAATTATGGAAAAAGTATCATTGGTACCCTA